CAGAATAGCCAACACACCTCTATATAATAAAGAATCTTCTGGAGGCATCACCATGCCTGACTTCAAGCTATATTATGGATCTATTGTCCTGAAAACAGCTTGGAATTGGCACAAAAAATAGACAGGTAGACCAATGGAATAGAGTTGAAAACCCTGATATTAACCTTGACACCTATGAACACCTGATTTTTGACAAACAATCCAAATTTATATGATGGAACAAAGAGAACATCTTCAACAAATGGTGCTGGCATAACTGGTTGCAGACATCTTGAAGCCAAATACCTGTGCAAACTGTGTTTTGTTTTGTTACCTGTTCACATATTGGACAAACAGCAAAATCAATAAACTAAAGTAATGTTTTTTTATATACAGAAAACTTTACAGGCTTTCAGCAGCAAAATGTTTATATATTATGCTTCTTTAGGCAGGAAGGAAACTGTGAAGGAATTTTAATCCACAGGCAGGGCACACTGTAACCTTAAAAGAAAGCAAAAACATGAACAAACAAACATGTATTTGTGAGTGAGTGTGTGTGTGTGTGTGTGAGAGAGAGAGAGAGAGAGAGAGAGACAGAGACAGAGACAGAGAGACAGAGACAGAGAGAGAGAGAAAGAAAGAGAGAGATAGAGAAAGGGAGGGAGGAAGGAGGGAGGAAGGGAGGGAGGGAGGGAGGGGGAGACTGAGAGAGAGAGAGAGATTACATTTCCAATACTGAAGATGTTTGTAAATTTCCATCAGAATGTACAGTGAGTATAACCATTTTCATTTTTTATAACGGTTAGTTGAGTAAATGAATACTAGGGAGCTAAATGCTCATAGCCAGCAGCATTGCTATTAGGTAAGTGGTATAGAAAGAGTTTTCAAGAATGTTGAAATATAATTGGAGGACAGTAGCAATGTAATTAAAAAAAAAACAAGAACATATATGTTAAAAAGTGAAGTTAAATAAAGTCATGTCCTTTGGGAGACAGACAATGGATATCTGAAACAAAGTACTACTGGCATACCTGGAGTTTTGCCACCAATATCTTCAAAATTACCTAAGTCCAAATATAACAGGTTAGCAATTTCAGGTTCCAGGAGGCTATAAAACACAGGAAAAATAATTTTAAATATCATGTAACATTGAGAATTAACTATAAGTAAATGAAGATGAAATGTTTCACTATTTGTGGGGTTCTTCCTACAAAATATTGTCAAAATCCCAGTATACACAATGTAGTCTGGGTAAAAATTAAATTGATAATAAGAAAGCTGGGCAAAGTATATGTAAGAGCAGTATATGATGTTTTTGCTATATTAAAATTTCATGTGGACTAACTTTCCTGAAACAAGTTTATAAATGTATACATGTAGAAAATTGTAAAAATCAAAATAATCTACTAATTTACATGTTAATTGTTTAAAGTACTTACGAATTTATATGTATATATTACACAAACAATTATCCACAGTATGCAAAATTTAGCTACAATATTATCTTCATTGGATTGGTCTTGCTAATTTTTTGTGCCTTGTTATTTTTAAAGAGACTAGATTTATTCAATAACCTGACAAAATAAAACCTATGTGACTATATATCATACTAAACTAACTTCTCAGCATTTTTCCTACTCCCTTGAAACATACAGCAGAGAAAATCCTGCTGGATATATAAATGGCAGCAATGAGAAGAACAATGGAGGATGGCAAAGCATTGCCTTCTCATCCAGCCATACTTACTATGAATTCACGTTTCTACCCTAGCATCTTATGTCAATTTTTAAAAAGTCTCATTGGATTACATTCTGGAATACTGCTAAAACTTTATAATTCACATCAATCCAAAATATAAGTTCATATTTATTAATCATAGCATCCTGAAATATTCAGATTCTCAAGGAGTGCTGGCTAATTAAACACAGTAGTGGATTCCATAGAGAAATCATAATACTTATTTATGAGCTGCTTGAAGGTCACCATTCTTTAATTATGAAATGTTATACAGGAAGGCACTTAAACTATATCCCTTTAAGCTAGATGAAAGAAAAAATGATCATCCAATACAAAAAAATTAAATGATGATTCATCAATGATGATTAGTATTTACATCTTTATTTGTGTTTTATTTTTCTAAGTGTTACTTTGTGATTTTTCCAAAAATAAGCCATGGATTACTATATGATGAAAAGAAATATGATCCACTTTCACCTGTTCTTAGTGGGAAGGTTTTCTGCTACTCCTGTGAATATAATTTTGTGTCTCCTTCAAATTCCTTCTGGACTCCAATAACGTGCTCAGAAACAGGATGGTCACCAACACCAAAGTGTCTCAGTGAGTAAATGCCCATCCTTAGACGAGCATTGAAGGGAAGAAAAAGAACATGTAAGAGGGGTTCATGAGGTCTGGACAGTCAGATAGTTGGGCTGTGGAAGGGGCAGGTACAGTCTTTATTTTATGAGCTATTTTCCTAGGAAAATTTAACGCAGCATATACTGTCAACATGTAATCTACAAAAGATAATCAAAATTGAAAGCTGATGGAGAATATATTTGACAACTAATGGATCATGTTAAACATCTACTTAATAGAAACCTAGCCAAGAGTTTAATATGCAAAAAGTCACTTCATATATCCAATGTGTTTGAATTGCCTTTTCTCTCAAATATTCTATGGAAAGATGTTTTATTTCTGTATTTTCCAAAACTCATTACATCCTTGGATTTGATATCCATAATATACTGATCCTTCAGTGAGTGTGTGCTGCAAACACCAGGAGGACAAGTGAATTAAAAGAAAATGATAGGAAATAGGATAGATAGGTCAGTGAAGCAGATAGCAAGAGTCACCCCTTGTTGAAAAAACATTCAGAAATAAAAGAAAGCATATATATATATATATATATATATACTAAAAATTTCTCATACTTAAACTTAGGATGGGGTATTAATTGAAGCCCAGGATAACCTAACGCTCACTTATATAGCCCAACATTTCCTTGAACTCAATGAAGATAATTTTGACCTGGTTCTAGGTTTTGGAATGGGATGCTAGTATGGGGTGTCTCCAATTAGTCTTTTTTATCTTTTTCTTTCTAATGCTTGTTTTTATCATTAGATACAAATACCATGCATGAAGAGCTTTTGAACATTTTTGGAGTTATGCATAGACACCTTTAATTGTTCTGTCAGTTTTAAGATTACTTTTGGCCCCTTAGTTATTAGAGATACTCTTGCAGTGATAACTCCTTAAACTACCATCTGCTTACCACTTTGTATTTTTATTTTTGCTATATATAATATAATATGTTGAGGGGGAAAGGTTTCAAAACAGAGCAAAATCTAAATTTCCAAAGCCCTTGCTCTTTCCTTTAAACCCTGCATATGTTCAAACTGAAAATGGAGGACTGGAGATGGAGCAGCTCTTAAGGACACTGACTGATCTTAAAGAGGTCTATGGTTTCCTGCTCCCATGTGTGAGCTCACAACCCTCGGTATCTCCAGTTAGGGATTTTCCAATGACATCTTCTAACATCTCAGGATGTCATGTGTGCAGCTGGTGCACAAATACACATTAAGGGGGACACTGCTGTATATTATGAGAAATAAATAAAAATTTAGATGTAACGATTTTCAGCCATTGCCGAAAAAGAGAGCCATCAGTTTGATTACATGGGATATGTTCATAAACATCAGTTCATAGTGTTTATTGGTGGAAAACAAGAAAGCTTTATTTCCTAGCATTAGAACTCTTTTCTTGTGAAACGTAAAAACCTTACTGAGGGCCAGCAAGATAGCTCAGTGGTAAAGGCACTTTTTGACAAGACTGATGACCTGAGTTTGAGCCCAAGGACTCTCAGGGTAGAAGGAAAAATGAACTCCCGTAACTTGTTCTCTGACACACACACAATACTCTCTCTAATTCACTCTCTCTAATTCTCTCTCTCTAATTCTCTCTCTCTCTCTCTCTCTCTCTCTCTCCCTCTCTCCCTCTCTCTCTCTCTCTCTCTCTCTCTCTCTCTACACACACACACACACACACACGGTATATGATTTTCCTGGTGTGATTGGATTTCTTTCTCTGACTATCATTACAAGTCCCTATAAACTTGGTGGAGTAAAACGGTATAAATCCATTCCCTTACGGTTTTGGAGAAGAGTTTCTCCAAGGCAGTTTCTCTGGGCTGCAATCAAAGTGTTGGCCTCCATGGTTTCTTTATTTTCTCCAAGAGGGGTTCTATTCACCTGACTTTTTAGTGACAAGATTCTACTTGTTTTGTTTGGTGAGGGCTATCCTCCTCCAATTTCAAACTTGGTAATTTTTCATTTTTGAACGTTTCCCCCTCACTATCCCTACCTCCATCATAGCATTGTATTCTGTCATAACAGATAGCACAAGATAACCACCTATATAACAGTCCTTAATCGCTGTTCTAAATTTACTTTGACTTATAAAGTAATATTATTTGGTATAGGAGCTTAAAATGTAGCTTCAGGTGGGGGGATCATCAAACCTACCAAGATAATTAACAGCAAAATAGCAAGCTTGCAACTACTTTAAAAATACTTTTAAATTGGAAATAGTTTTATTTTTCATGCAGTATATAAACTCCATTTCCCTATCTTCTCCCAGGTCATACTGTTCTCCCCTCTTCCTAAATGCACACCCTCTCAATCTCGGTCTCTGTCTCTGTCTCTGTCTCTGTCTCTCTCTCTCTCTGTCTCTGTCTCTCTCTCTTGAGAAAACAAACAGGCTTCTAAAAATATGAATAAGAAAAAATAAAAACAAAGTGGAATAAGACAAAATAAACAAGAAAAAGACAAGGAAAAGGTAAAGGAAACAGACATAGAAACAAATAAGTTTACACACAGATAAATCTCATAAACACAGCAATGGAAACTACAGCACACAACAAACAATAACACAGTATGCTAAAGACTTGCAAATTGTATCTTTTAGAAAGCTGAAAAAATGCCATTGATTTTGTTTTGTGCTAGCTATCTACTGATAGGCATGGGACATGCCGTTATGTATTGTTTGTATACCCAGCTAGAATATCCTGGAGAAAACTATTTTTTTCTGTTGTGGGCATTGGGAGATAGGTTCTGGATTTGTGTCCACTTCTTTCTCAGGGCTGGGACCACATCTACTTACACACATGCATGTGTACATAATGTCACAAACCCTATGAGTTCATACGTGTCTGAAGTCTTTAACAGTCCTTGGTGTCCTTCATCCCCTCTGGCTTCTCCAGTATTTCACCATGATCTACCTCAGGGAAGATAGCTAGGCTAGTCAAACTGTTTGTTTTAGTAAATGAATTGGTAACTAGTGTGTATCCTATTACAGAACCACACATTTTAAGTATTATTTTATAGAATTAGATGGTGCCATATAAAGTGAACAAAATAAGCAAAACCTATTTTAAAAGAAACTATGTTAACAAAATACACATACCTATAGGAAATCGACTTAACCTATTCAGTTGTACCTTTCCACTACTTCAAAAAGATCCTGTCTCCTCTGATTTCACTCTCTTTCCTTAAAGAAAGGGTTCTGTAAAAGCAGGGAGAATAACATAAGGAAAAATGAAGTGTGAAAAGAAGCTACAGAGTTGTCTTCAGATGGATGCTATAAATAAGATATTTGCATAGTTTTCTTTGGCATTTCAGTTACCTGAGTTCTAGAGCTGGCTTATATTATCTTCATAAAACTGTATGGTGAGCCCATCCAGAGTGCAGTTTGAGAGAACATCATAAAACTAATATTTTAGTCCATGATTTGATGATATAGAGAATAAACAAATATAGATCATCAAATCTAGATTCATAAATAGATGAGATAAATACCTGAGGTGGTGGGCTTTTGTTTTAGGAAATGAAAAAAAACCAATTAGTGTCTGATTTTATATTCTCAGAAACAAACACTATCTTCTTTAGTGTAAGGAAATTGATTAAAAGGAAATGGGAGGAAAAGATGGAACTTTGACTTTTAGTTAAACAGGAAGATTTCCTTTCCTTCATTAATGATGTCCTCCCATCTACATGATACAATTGTCATCTCAGTGTGATGGTGGGTATTTGCTGTCAGCAGGAATCACCCAGCAGACAGTCTTATGGTTATGTCTCTGAGCATCTACTAGACAGCGCTAACTGCAGTGCAAAGACACACCCTACACTGGGCAACATCATTCCATGTGCTGGGAACTCTGACTCATAGAAAGGAGAGAGTGAGCTGAGCATCTGCTTTCTGACTGCAAACACAGTCTGATCAGCTGCTTCTTGCTCTCACCACTGTGACTTCCAGAACATAAGGACTGTGGCCTCAAATTATGAGCCAACACAGAAGAGAAAAACTTCACTTACTCAAGATATTTTTGCCAGGTATTTTTTTATAACCACAATATCAGTTATTAACATATTATGTGCTGCTCACCTAAGGTAAGATTCAACTTAACTATTATTATCTTTTTCTTTCAGAGTTTTGCTTCTCAGAGGTTCTTCATAATATGTATAGATATTTTCTCTGTTAATGTGATTAAATTTTCTTCAAGTAATCATTCTGTAGCTAGAAATCACTAAAGACTTGATGTTGTGTTTAGCACTGTACTATTATGAGTTCTGCTTGTCCCAGTAGTTTCACTTGATCTCTCAAACCCTCAAATATTGTTCTGTTAGATTCAACAAAGACATGTGGGCCCCCTCCACCTATTGACAATGGTGACATCACATCCTTCCCTCTACCAGTATATGCACCGTTATCATCAGTTGAATATCAGTGCCAGTCCTTGTACCAACTGCAGGGCAACAAGACAATAACATGTAGAAATGGAGAGTGGTCTGAGCCACCAAAATGTTTAGGTAAGTACCTTGTTCTTACAGATTGTCAGAAAGTCAATTTCATAATTGGAATATTTTTCTCTTTATAATAACATTCATACATTATAATTACTGTCTTATCAAGTGCATGATTGCCAAATATCAGCAAATGAAGACAGCAAGGTTTCTAGATTTTTTTTTACATAAAAACAGCTAACAAAATTTCATGTTACTCATTATTGAGTTGAATATCAGTGCCAGTCCTTGTACCAACTGCAGGGCAACAAGAAAATAGCATGTAGAAATGGAGAGTAGTTTGAACCACCAAGATGTTTATGTAATACCTCATTCTATTAGACCATAGAAGATTCAGTTCCATCATACAGTGTCTCCCTGTTGTTTTCCTTGCGGGTTCAGTGTTTTGTTTTTACATTTAATATTTGATTGACTTTGAGTTGATTTTTGAATCAGATAAAAACCATCTCTGTTTGGACACCAATTACCTTGTATCATTCATTGAATATGCTATCAGTTCTCCAATGTATGTTTGGAAACTCTACTAAGAAGAATTATGGGCTGGGTGTTGGTGGTGCACATCTTTAATCCCAGCACTTGGGAGGCAGAGGCAGAGGCAGGCAGATCTCTGTGAGTTTGAGGC